ATGTTATGTTTGTTTAGCTCCGCTCATTGATTATTGATCTACAAAACATTTTAAAATAGAACAAATGATCGCTTTTCGATACGATTTATGTGTTCCTGGATGAATCTTTATTTTCGTTTGTATAAATTTTACATATATACGTATATACATATACTATATGTACATATGTATTATATGTATATATACATATGGGCCGATTTACATATACATATATATAAATATATATATATATATAAGTATATATGTACCGCAGTTCATAACATTTGTCTTTTGCGTGCGCTTTTTACGTGCATAACGCTAACCCAGCGCATTTCGGTTGTTGTTCTTGTTGATAGCGAATTTGCCGCACGTGTGATGTTTGCCACTGAAAATGGTAAACAGCTTAACTGCATTATCATCATCAATAGTAGCCGATGCATATGTACACGTATTTATATACATTCACACATCGAAATCATCGATACATATACTACGCGAAGCTAAAAGCAATCGCAAGAAACGTGAATTTCTCTCGCAATAATTCAGAATAATGCCGCCAAAAGGTGTTAAATTGAAATAACCACCTAACCACCTCTACTGCCGCGATCGAGTGAAGAAACCTTGCAACTTACTCTCATAGTGTGTATGGATGTTGTTGCTGTCGCGTTATTTGTTGTATGTGTGTACGCGCGCGCGCACATGTGTTTAACGTACTGTTGTGCGCGCTGCAGTTGTTGCACACAACTGATTTTACTGTTGCTGTTGTTGTGATGGTAATGTAATGGTGATGTGATGACGATGTTGGTGGTGGTGGTGGTGGTTGTGGTGGTAGTGCTGCTGATGCTGGTGATGATGATAGGCCATTGGTAGTAGTAGTGGTGTAGTTTGTGCGCTTCGCACTATATGTTTAACAAATAACAATTGTACACGCGGTTGAAATCGATTGGGTCAGGCAATCACTGATCGAACATTTCGATAAGTTCAACACAAATATTCGAATTCTAACAAATGATTTGGTCTCCTGGGCGAATGGTTTTCCATGCATAAACACAATGGTAACGCGCGTATCAATGGTTAAGGGCGCAAATCGTCTTTCATGTAACTATCGATACTTCGGCTTGTTGATGCGTGTTTCGGTGTGCTTCTGGTCATGAATGGAACAACACATGAATAGTCGGCAAAGGTCCACCGACATATGGTCTAAACGAAAATACATTTCTTACACAAATCTCAGAAAGAAAGACAAAAGCTTCCTTCTCTGTCACCATCCATAGCAGTGTCACGTTCTCTATAAGCTGTATAAAGCCAAAAATTTAAATTGACACTTGCTCGCCTTTAAATGTACACATGTACATAAGATAAACGCATACATACAAACGCGCAATACATACACAATGCGAATGCTTTTTTTTTTGTTTTGTTTTTTTTTTTTTTTTATACACAATCATGTTACATACAATATAAATGAACATTAGTTCTGTAAATTCGTTTTTGAATTCATTTACCGCCGGCAAACATATGTTTAGATGTATGTGTGTGGTAGTGTTAAATCACGCTTTAACCACTGTTGACAGTGATGCGTATCGTTATTGCTTCTTCTTCTACGAGGATCATTTACGAATTACATTAGCAATTAAACGAACATATCAATGGCGCCACTTGCATAATATTTCACGCTTTCATTGTGATCCTTGCATGCGCAATTTATTTAAGAAAAATTCATTTTAATCGATTTCTGCCCATATAATCGTAATGCGTCAGCAGCGTATTTGCATAAATATTATCGTTAACCGAATTATACGCACAATTTCTATAATAAAAGGTACAATTTTTATTTTAACAAAAAAAGTCCAAAAAAAAACAACAAATTTTTATTTATGAAAAAAAGCATATGACAGACATGAAAAAATCTCTCCACACTACGAGCAGACAAAAAGAAAATATTATGTGTATGTCAACAATTCGAAATGGATGCGTGAACTTAACAATGCATTAAGTCAGCAATCAAGTTGTTGCTCCGGTCAGAAAGGATTTTGTTGATCTGACTTGAAATCACTTGACTAAGTTATTATATATTAAATAGGTGGAGAGTAGAATTTGAAGGCTTTTGATCCTTTTAGATCATATTTGCGTCCGTTGTTGTTATGTATTACTAGAAACGCTAGTGTACGCTAAAGTGTGTATTTTGTAGGAAGAAAGGAAGAGCGATTTCAGCAGCATGCTTGGTAGTGCACGAATGCAAATAATATCAGGTTTTTTTTACTTCTCCATCATAAGCTATCAAAATGAGAACAATGACTTAAGCTGATGATTATTATACGTCCCTATTGTTTAAAAGCTTTACTCTCGAAATTGGTTGCGAACGGTTAAAAACATTGTTGTCTTGCTACTTGTTGGGAATTATATTTTCTGACAAATTTTCTTAATTTTTTAATACAATGCAATGTTTAGGACCACAATTGTCAACGTTTCCTCCATAATGAAGAAAATTCCTTTTTTTCGTTGTTCTCATTACATTACTCGCTGTTTGTAGAAAGACTCACACCATAGTATTCTTTTACTTCTACAATCAGATTTTCCATAGTGGATATTTGAGTTCATCAGGCTTAACCTCTAAATAGTTTCACTTATTATTTGGCCCTCTATTCAGAATTGTCTACAACTCTCCCTCTCGGTACATGTTTACTATTGGTCTTATGGTGATATTTGGTTTTAGATGAAGTTTATCACTCTCTTAGTGCTGCACTATCAATTTCAATTTCTAGTAATAATTAATTTTATATGCGCCTAGCGCAATTTTTGGGTAAATGACATCATTTAAGAAGGACTTAAATCGCCAATTTCTCATCCTAGCACTGAATCTTTAGCTCCCTTTACTTCGCTCTGTCTCCCTTTCTTTCCTTCGCCGCCCTACCCTTTTTCCAGAATTGCCACAACATTACTCATTAGAATTTTCAACCAACTAATTACAAAACCTAAAGGAAGAAAGCTTTATTTTTTATAAAAGAAAGGCTGATTTTCCCAGTCGAACACGTCACACTAATAGAAATTTCCGTTTAGAATAGCAGAATTGTTTAACATAGGCCAAGTCCAATCAGAGGAACCAGAAAAAACCTACAACATCAACTTTTCAATTTGTTTAAAAATTTCAGCAATAAATAAAAAAAAAAGTTGCGCGTGGTTGAGAAAAGAGACCTTAAGGGATAACAGTAAAACGTAAACATATAAAATAATCACGTAACTTATGAGCGAAACTATCGAAATTATGCTATACTTAATATTATGAATGTAGTGTGCACAGTGTGTAAGTGACTAGTTGTTATTTTTGCTTAATGTAATTTCTCTAATTTTCGCTTTTTTGCTAATCCGGCATTCCAATCATATGTTTAGGATTTATGAACTTAACAATACGACTTAATTACAGGCATTACCAGATGCAAATATTTGACACAATAAAATGTCATCAAGAAAATTAATTATGCCAGCATAACTTCGTGTTTCTGTTGACGCGTAAAGTATTGTAATTGATAAAAATCATGTAAATATAAAATAAGATAATTAAAACCTAGTAGCGAGAGAAAGGTAAGCAATATAGACAGATGAATGGCCATATACTGTGGTCACTCACTGCTTATATAACCACTCAACAAATAATGAAACAGATTACGCCTAATCATATCGATCAAAATCTAAAGCAAACACAAAAATATTTTATCCCAATCTGCAAGATTTCGCCCCACGCGCCCATGGTTAGTGAAATAAGTTTAAAATTTTTCAATTGGTTTAGAAAAGCTAAGAAGTGTGTTTTAGTAGCAACATTTTGTATAAAGCCGCGTTGGCTAATTTTTCAGATGGTCGTTTGCGGCCAACAACATCATAGTGCTTAAATTCTCCCCCAACTTTTATTTTGTTCTTTTTTCAGTAAACTGATATGCATGATAATATCCTGAAATTATCAGCTGTGCGTTTTTCGCAGAATTTAAAGGAAATATTCACTGCAAGTTTAAAAAAAAAAGTCTCTTTTTGCATTCGCTTAATAGATAGTTGCTTCTTAGAATATATATGTGTGGATGATTTTTAGAATAAATGGAAAAAATTTATTACCTAAAAGGAATTTGTTTGGATAAATTAATTTAAAAATTATTTATTGACAAATTATTGCCTTTTTTGATAGAAAATTAAAAATTTAACATTTTAATTCAAATACTTGTCAGTCACGCAATCGCAACCATGTTTTAAAAAGCTTTTTTATGCAGCTGGTGTGGCTCTTCTGTCGTATGGCAATCGCGAAAACAAACTTGATTCGTCTATATAATAGTTGCGATCGAAAAAAAAAAAAATATTAAATGAGTAAAGGAAATGGAGGCTATAAGAAGACTCCTGGCTCCAATGGGTAGCCGAAAAGCAGAAAATCTAAGTGTCGCTGAGGACTGCCGCACCGTGCTATTTTGTTAATGACTTGCAGAATTTCATGACTCTCTCTGTCACCCTTCAACATGTACAATCTGCCACAGGCACGTCAACAGTGACTTGTCGAAACTCTAGTTCTGCAAGGTATCCCTCAAAGGAAAACCCTACATTCATTCACGATCCCGGATTTTAGTGTGAGAAGGATTTGTAGATTGAAGAAATATGAGGAAAACAAACGTAGCTCTTCATTTCACATATAGTGTTTGCAACCGTGGAATGGGATGTATAGACAAACAAAGTACAGGTATCCCTCGCTTCACACAGTTGATTCAAGCCGAAAGTTTTTACTTTTATATTCAAATTGAAATATCATAATATAATTAACATAATTTAAACCACTTCTTGCATTGAAGCCGTGTTTTACACTTTGATTGTCCTTGACAGTAGTGGATTCAAAAATGAAATGAAAATTGAAAATTTTTTTTCGTCTCAATAAACTTGAGCATAAGAATCATTGGCATGAAATTTTTTACGCATATTTATTAGAATTTTCTCAAATGTATATATAATATTTATATTTAAATGATTGATTGGATATTTTATTTCTTTAGGCATATGAACTGTCCACCTTGACGGGAACCCAAGTAATGCTGTTAGTTGCCTCGGAAACAGGACATGTTTATACGTTTGCGACGCGTAAACTTCAACCTATGATTACATCAGAAGCTGGTAAGCAGCTCATTCAAACGTGTCTGAATTCACCAGATCCGCCCAGCGTCGGTGGCGGCGATCAGCGTATGTCTGCGACTGGATTCGAAGAAACCGAACTCAGTTACAACATTGCCGATGAGGATTCAAAAGTAAGACAATTAATTTATGGTCATCATGGTCACGCTCATCTCGGTCATCCGCAAGCCCCTGCCTCGCATTACGGTCTAGATCAAAGTATAATGCAATCGCCATATAGCGGCGGTCAACCGTCACCATTATCCCATTCGCAGGCGTATGCAGCACATGGGCATCCTCATCATTCCCATGTGCCGCATGTACCTCATTCCACACACTCTCATATGTCCCATACGCATACGCAGCGGTAAGATACATGCATAAATACACATAGATACATAAATACATACGCATACATATGCACACATACATGCACATGCACGCAATAGAAAATGTAGGCTACACCAAACTTAGGATAATTACGCCAGTTAGTTCATCAACACAAGTACATGGAAGAGCGAATAAAACAGACATTCCGTTCGCGCCAATCAAGTCACTTAATCGCAATGACTCTGTCCTCGAATAACTTCCATTGAAATGTAGTACATTGTAGATATGAAAATACGTGTAACGATACGATCGATGATCTCGGTAACAAACGCATGTCGTCACGTCGTTTTTGTTTTTTTCTCGCATAAAACAGAGAACAAACAATTAGCAAACATTTAATTTTATTTTTTGTTTTGTTTTATTTGATTATAAAGAAAGAAAAACAACATACAAACGTAAACACATAGTTAGTTTTATATCAACCATAGAAAATAATACAATGTTACAAGCTGAACTAGTCATTTTTTTTTTTTTTTTTTTTTTTTTTTTTTTTTTGAAGCTATCACGTAAAATACATACACATGCGTACTACGCATATATCATATTGTATGTATGTATATGATTATGTATATGCACACATATGTACATATAGAGAACTTAACTTAACCTAATGGAATGAAATGAAAAAACCGCACCGTGCCATATTTTACGACGCAATACGTAACTCTTCACCTGTCATTTGTACCTTAGGAATTAAAACTCATCAAAACTCGAAAGTAATTCAAGCTCCACGAAAAATAATGTGCCATTTTGATAGACCTCTTTTTTTTCATACGCAGACGAATTAACACACACACACACACACACATACACACTCATATACACACATATACATATATGTATGTATATGCATATATATGTATATGGATGCATATAAACGCACCCGCACTTAAATATTAAGAGCATTTGCTCAGAGAACACTAGAACACCAAGCTTTGCTTATAATATCGAATCGCGATTGAATCGAAATTATTCTAATGTGCCATTTATCTCTTCATCTAATATTTTTTTTTGTTTTTTTTCGTTTTGCTTAATAAATGTTAAATAATTTAAGTACACAACCAAATTTATGTGCAATAACGCAACACACATGTGCCTTGACATTACTCCCAATGACCGTGACCAACCCTTCGTACACATGTCAAGAAAATTTCTTATATATTTATACCCACCACCAGAATATAAGAGTATATTAATTTGATCCGTCTATCTCTGATGTCAGTATATATGTTGCAAAGTGGGAAAATAAGTAGGAAAAGTCGAAACCAAATAAAGTTCTCAACTTAATTGGTCGTGAACAGATCTGCATAATTAGGAAATATTCGAATTTTTATTATTACCAAAGTGTATGTGAACGGTTTAGGTGTACGCCCACAACTAACAAAAAGTTTTGACGTTTTTATTTCTTATTCTATTCCCTTGAAATTTTGAACGATGAAGATGTGCTGATGTTCCCATTTGAAACTCTCCGTCATAAAAGCATGAATTCATTTATATATTGAATAATGTCCGTCTGTCCTGATGGTTGGTTTACAACTCTCTTATATAATAATATTATTTTTATAAAAAAGTCGAAGCGTTCAGTCGATATATCTGCATCAAGAAGTTGCCATATTGTTATCAAATCGCTGATAACTTATTGGAAATTCGAAGTTTAGACATTTACAAAAGTCGGCTAAAAGATCAAGAGAGGATTTACAGTCGTCCAAACTTTGGTTTTGAGATTTGGTTTAAATTCGTCATATTGGTGGTGGTGGTGGTGTTGTTGGTGGTGGGTATATCCAAGATTCGCTTTATGGCGATCATATCTTTCTTACTTTGTTTTATATAACTATGCTTAGTGAATACGAATGATGAGCGTGATCGATGAAAAAAACTACAATCTAAAGTGTTTTTATGTTTGTTATCATTTGTGTGTGTGTAGTTTATTTACATACGCGCAAATACATATATGTCTTGTGTTTTGTTTGTTAAGGAGTCTTAAGGAGTTTATATGAGTTGTTGACGTGTAAACGACACTTAGTTACTTATCTAATCGCATAAAAATAATTACTTTTCAATGCTCATATATTATTATAAATGAATTTATGTAAATTATAAAAAAAGAAAACAAAAAAAAAAAAAAAAAATCATCATTAGGATCCTTAACAACAAACCGCCTATTTCCCTCCTTTTATTATGTAAGTAGACATGCAGTACCATTTGAAGTACACGTGAAGTACACGCAAAGATAGTAAAAAACAAACAAACATATATATCTTCTTTTATATATATATATATAAACTTAAAAAGTACATTTTTAAATAGAAGTATATACATAAATATTTATTATTATTAAGCATGTGTAGTTAGTTAAATTTTTGATTTTTTTTTTTTTTTTTGATTTTTGATTTCTTAAATAATTTTTATTTTAGAAGAAAAAGAAACTACATCACAACAACAAAAAATGATTATTGTTTATGCTGTGTTTTGTGTTAAATTTATATAAATTTTTTGATTTTTATTTTTTTTTAATTTTATTTTATAATTATTTTAATTTATAATATGATGCATAACAAGTTTATACTGATGCTAATGACTTATCGTGGTTTCTGTCAAACAGAAATTTAATAATTTTTAATAAAACAAAAAATTTCATATAAGAAATCTTTGGAAAGTTAGAGAGAGCGAGAGAGAGGTAGAGCATAGGGGAGATATTTTACATTAATAGAAAGGTCATAAACAGAGATGCTTTTCATAAAAAAAGTCAGTTACTTGGGCCCCTCAAAATGCGTAATAGAATGAATGAAATGATTTTGGACACGTTTTCGAATAAAGTTGGACCATATGTTCAACGCGACTTTCCTTGCAAAGCATTGGTCATTTAATGGAATTTTTCATACCGGGTCTATTTCGCCAATAGTAGTTCTAACCTTGTCTTTGAGTCGTTGTATTTTTGCGGGACCTTTAACCACTAAGTAGAAGGTCTAATATTGTCAAATTGAACACAATCTTGGCGGCCATTTTGCGAAATTACCCGTCGAGCGAATTCTTCACATAATAGAGGCATTGTTTTTTAAGCTCGACCACACGAGCTGTCCGCAGAGGTTAACTCAATATAGTTAGATAGTGCATTAGCTATGGCTTACTCCGTGGAAACTGCCTTCGTAATCATGGTAACACATAATCACACGCTTGTGGCAACAATTTCAGGCCAAAGAGGAATCATTCATTATCTTTCCATCGTTTCCTATGACGATCGAATTAGCAGAATATTCGTAAAATTTCCGCATTAAAAACACTCATCGTGGTTAAGGAGTTTGTTCGTTTACCTTTCTTCGATCTTCCTGCAAGTTAATGCGACAATTTCCCTTCTTTGTATACCCAGGTGGATGGAAAAAATCACTATCCCGTTCATGCATTTTTAGCATCCAATCAACAAATATACAGAGTATTGAAGAACACGTAAACCAAGATCTTTAGGCGAAATACGGCGCACAGCTCTTTGCTCTATCTTCTCAAGCTTCGTGACTCTTAGTCCTAGCGTCGATATTTTCATCTGGCTTGGAAAAGTGAATATAAGTTCTTGGCTTTACATCACTTACGTGTTGATGGTTTCCCAACTTATTGAATAAATTCACTATAGTTTTTGCGTGATAAGTCGCCCTGCAGCGAAATATTCCCAACATTAATTTAACGCTAAAAACGAAGACGATATTACATCACCACAAAAAGCTTGCCTCCTGATAAGTTGTGAGTGAGACAGATTATGATACGTTCATAAAGTAATAGATAGAAAGCGTCCCAAGCGTCCTAACTTTACTTAAAGCATTAATATAAAGCAAGCAAAAAAGTCAAAGTTTTCCTAATGCGTAGGGGTATCATCAAGTCTTGTTACGAGTATTTGTTTCTCAAGGGGTTTACATTACGTTTCTACAAACTAGGCTGTAACATTTGATGTAATTATTATGGTGCTTATGGATTCCCATAGTCAAGCTTTAGGTGTGCTGGCTATAGACTCAATATAAAAACAACTAAAAAAAGTGTGGTAGGGCAGGGCCAACTAATAAATACCGTGAGTAAGCACACAATCATCCGGCTATTGATTTTTTCAAAATAAAACGATCCGATCAAAACCATTCTCAACAGCCTGCCGCCATGGAACGAAACACCTCAGTGTACCAAATTTCATGAAAATATCTCAAAAATTGCGACCTCAGAGGGACGAGCAAATAAGCTTAGATTAGAGTCAGAAAATGAATCTGAATCGATACGGAAGTGATAAAGAAAGTGATTCCACTTTTCAAGTGTTTCAGATTTCCGCATAAACTTCACGCGCAATTTTCTTAACTGTTAACTATTGCGAGATGTTTTCATACAATAATGTGAAGAACTTCTGTCCCCTCTTCCTCTCACAACAACGTAAGACATTTTCAAAATAATTTTATTATTAAATGTTTCATTCAAATCAATTAGTTCTCGTTCAGAGAAAAAGGAAAGAAATGCTTGCTTAGCAATCAAATGAAATGACAATTGTCAGCTGTTAACATATAACATACATGCATACATGCATAGATGTCAGTAAGCACACATAAGCAATTGTTTCTATAGCTGATAAACTTTGGATTCATTTCGTTCGCTCTACGCCTTCGACATAAGTGTAACGACTTATGCAAATTGTATATAAAAAGAATTGTATATAAAAGAAAAGTATGTGTTTTTGTATATGTAATATATGAGCGTATATAATAAAAGTCATAATAGGTATTTAATTTCAAGTCTTATTCAAGATCAAGGTTGATCTGTGTCTTTGAAAATTTTGTTAAACTCTCTCATCATCAGTTGGTTGTTCAGTTGTGTAGTTAGTCGCTTTTTAAAATATGAATGAAAATAAAGATAAAGTCGCGCCAACTTCCACATACACATAATATTTTTCATTTCCGCTCTTAGTTTTTACCAGTGGGTTAACCAGAATATCTGCCACATTTCAATGTTTATAAATTTTAAAAAATGTTTTCATTTATCAAAAAAATTAAAATAAAAAAAAAAAAAACATATGTTCATAAATATGAATATTTTATATTCCGCACCACTACCACTTCATATTATACGTACATACATACGTAGATTAGAAAATAAATTCATATCTCGTCGAAGCTAGAGACCGTTGTAGATATTTTTCAGGTCTATTGTTTATACCCGTTCGCCTAATACGCGAATATATTGTTAGCGTTAGACAAGTGAACACAATGCTGTGTCGAACGATTGCTGGCAAATACAAGCCAGAGGCATCAGCTACTGCGAATAGTATACATATCTATATTTAATTCGCTTATATTTCATCAACGACTGATTCATAATAGATGAGTTGCACAATCAACTATATACATATATATATATATACATATATAGACGAAAGGCACATTTCTCTCAATTTTAATTTATTTCTAATCTCAAGGGATATTTAAGTAATATTAGGTTTAATTAATTAGTGAAATGCAAGGCACAATGAATGCCTTTCTAGACTAGCTGGTTCAGAAATCTACTGGAGGCTTAAGACTTTTTAAGAACTAATGCTTGCAAGATATCCTCAAACAGGTAGTGCCTTCAAAACCTGGATGGGGGGCAGGCAGCGTTATAGAAGACGGCGTATTGCTTTGATTGCATTCTTACCGCCTTACTCACAAATAATTGGGTAAAAATATTTTTCCATTGCCTTACTCTTCGCTTTTATATATATTGAAGATGAAGAGACCCTACCATATAGTTACAAGCTTAACGTTGACCGTTTAGTCTGGAAGATAAGCCTGTTTTCCCAGTATCTTAAAAACTTTAACATTCATATGGCTTGAGCCGCCACGTTGCAGGCGCTTACTTTATCTTGTGGCCCAACTTCAAACTCACCGCTTGGCAGGGTCCATTTTCTGGAATTTTTCGAAAATCATTTTCATATCCTCGCTTACCTTTCGACAATGTACAACCATTCAATCCGTTATAATGTCTAGCGAACTACAACCGAAATCATGCGCATATGTGATTTGATCAAAAATTAATGAGAATTTTCAATTTATGCCCGTGTTATTTCGCTTACCAAGTTGATACAACATGTGCGCGTTGCAAGCGCCGAAAGTTTCCAGATTGAGATGCGATGCCCTTCTCAGAGAACATTTAGTCAGTTTGTTTGAAATATTTCGCATTAAAAGGGGAGTAAGGGGAGATTTGAAAATTTTCAAAGATGAGAGAATAACATATCACATAGTAATCACATATTCACGAATGTTACAAACGCCGCCGGGAAGACCTAGATGATATCAGTAATAATTGAAGATTTAAAAGTATTTGGGAAAAGTTAAAATTTTCGTTGCTTCTTGATCAGACTGCGCAGAATTCGTGCTCAACTCCGTGAAGTAAAAAGGAACCTTCCGCTAATTAACTGAAATGAATTTACTAAGGAACTACTACTAAGGTACTAAGGAACCTCCCACTGACTAACTAAAATGAATTTATTGTAGAGAGAAGCTATTCGAGATCTACCCCAATGAAGCTAAAATTATTTAAGCTTTTGTGGAATCCTTCTCTGTCTATCTGTGTCCTCCAATCAAACTTAAACAGTTTTTTGGGAAAATATTATGTTAATATTCAATGCATTCAGTTTACATTGCAGAGCAAAGAGACTCACTACTAAGGGTATTCACTTCTAACGGGTCATTGCCGCCGTAAAAGCGGCATTTCGTTTGCGTTGCAACATTGTTTGTTCGATTAAGGATTAAAAAAAACTCGATCTATATAATTACTGCCGCGATGTATAAAATATCTTTATCTCTAAATGCTTTCGCATTGTGTATGAGTGTATGTAGTGAATGCACATCTTTAAGAATCAATGTTTTCAAGCTTATAAGAAACCTTTTACTTACATGCTTGAATGAACTGCTAGCTAGGTACACATATACATATACATATGCATATGCATACTTACTGCATATTCAGTGTGTGTGACGGTTATTCAGTTACTTAGTTACTTACCGTCCCGTGCATTTTAATACTTCGTTTTATATTGCTCTTCTTCTTCCTCTTCTTTTTTTTTTTAAATGAAAAATAGAAATTTTTACTTAAGTAATGCACAAATGCTTTATTTTAATTTTATTTTAATTGTTTAGGCGCATTCATAAGCAGTACACACACGGGGCTTACGTGTGCTCATAAACATACCTCCTGTATATATATATATATATATATAGCTCTATAAGAGAAATTAGATAATGATAATAAGAATATAAATCTGCGTGCGTGCCTGCCATTGCATATTATAAACATATATATGGATGAATGTATGTGTTTGAGTGCGTATATGTATGTGCATTTGTATTTGTATCGGTATATGTTTATTACATGAACACATGAGCAACGTTCATTGTAGGTACTTAGGTACATACCCGCGCACATATTACATAGGTCGGACGGAAATATTTGGCAAGCTATCAGTTAAAATTAAAAAACCTTTTAGAATAGTGCAGAGTTCATAATGTGTTCAGTGTCGCTATCAGTTCGACTATGCGCCGTCTCGTTGCGATGTTTGCTGCAACATTGAAATTTTGCTTATATGTGTTCGGATGGATGATTCGTTTGTGCTTTTCGTCTGTTCTGTTTTATTTTATTTTTTTTATTTTTTTTTTTTTTTGTTTTTTCTCGTATTTTTATATTGCGGCAGTACACGGACTACCGCAACCACAAATGGATGGAAAATTGGGAACCTGTAGTAGTAGAGTAGCTGGCTGATGGCTTTGCTGCTGCTTTGGTATTAAGATTGTGTGTGCATCGGTAGTTATTTTGTTTACTTTTGCGCTGTTGTTGCTGTAGTTACTTGCTTACTTGTTTGTTTGTTTGTTTGTTTGTTTATTTGTTTGTTTATTTGTTTATTTGTTTAGTTGACTGTGATCGTATTGCATTCAGTAACTTTCATGGGAATGCGGCTGCATATTTTTGATGATTTTTGTTAATTTCAAAGGTTCAAAGTGAACGGGCCACGTGCGATGTGTAATGCGTGTCGGGCACACACCAAAGCATTCAGGACAATGTGCGTTATGTTGGGCCGAGTTTGAATACGTTGCAGCTTCTGAATGCCGCCAACAACGCACGCAGTTACGGATTGCTGTTTGTGACTGTTCGAGTTCGACAAGAATCTTATGTGGTATTCTTTGTTAAGTTTTCCTTTAGGCTTTGGCCACAGATTATACACTATATATACATGTATAATTTTAGTATTTGTTATTGGTTAGTTGATGACCACGCATCCATATCTTTCTCTATACAAACATATAGATTTCATATAAATACCGTCTGTCCTCTGATCTTCTCTTCTTATGAAGCACACACACATATATATATATACATATGCATATATATATATATATATAAGCAAACGCATACGGCATTGTTGTGTCCTCTTAATTTTATACTCATGGAATTTCAGCATAAGTTGTCGATAATATCAATGGAATCGCATTAATACAACTGTTTGTGCAATAGCTTCTGGAATTCGACATTTTTCCTTTTTTTTTGTTTTTTTTCGGTTTTTTTTTTTTTTTTTTTTTTTGTGAAAAGAAGCCGTTTATGCAATTTTGCCATTCAATGCTTGTAATATGTACGAACGTAGATCTGTGACAGAAAATTGCTGAGCTGTTCTTTGGCTGTGACTTCATTCCGCCTCCACAGCAATCCGCTGACAAAGCAAAAGACAATGGTCATCGTTTATTTCTGCTTCTCTTGGCATTGAAAAGAAAATTAAATCGTTTTTATTAAACAAATCTAATTAATTTGTGAATAAATTTGAAGAAAATTAACAAAAAAAAAAAAAAAGAAAATGAAAAAAAGTAAAATTTGAATAAAATAATACAACAACAGCCAGGACACCCATCAACGAAATATTCTACTTTTGTTGTTGCCCAATATTGTTGTATTCTCCCTAGCTAAGAATCGGGATTAATCGTATAACGTGAAATTTGCTTACATCTTACTCTGTTTACTTGGGGCATTTTTTTCGTGACTAAACTTCTGGAAATTTCAAGAATCCTGCTTGAAATTTAAAGCTAAGGACCTTTGGCGAAAGCCGACAACTTCAAAATTGAAATGTAATTTCGTACACAACCTATTGGTTATCGAGTAACTATGTCCATGAAGATGGTCAAAACACAAGCCGACTTGTCAATCATCTATGCATGATTTGACTTGAGGAGAGAGCCGATTCATTAGTATTGGTAACTAAGGCTTAGACATATCAACAGGAGAAGAGGAAAGCCCAACTGCCATGGACAACTGAATCGTAGATGTATCAACAAAAACTTTCACTCCATGTCCATGTCCAGGATTTGACTTCAGGAGACGGCCCTCGATAACTGAGTTGTGAACATGTCAACAAAACTTTCCATGTCCATGTCCAGCATTTGACTTCAGTAGAGGGCCCATTAACTGTCACCCATAACTGAGTCGTAGATGTACCAAAAACACTTTCACTGTCCATGTCCAGGATTTGACTTTAGGAAAGGGCTGATT